TACTCATTTTCTATTATTAGACATTATTTTAATAATCAACTGTCGAAATATTAACGGCGTGTATAAGTACATACTTTAGGATAATAATCTCTTTTGTTTTCTTAAAATGCCATGCCAGATAATCCATATTTTATGTTGAAACGATCCGTATTTACATCTACTTAATTTGGCCAAATCATTTGATCAGATTTAAATTAGCCATTTCCGATTTTCGACTGATTGCTAATTTGAATTGAATAAATACTAACCTTCCTAATATATATGATAATTGATAACAGAAATTGGTTCAATATACCGTGGGGTTTTTCAATAACAGACATATTTAATATTATAATGCGTAAAATGAAGGTCTTCGTACTTGTTTTAGCTTTGAAGGCCAAAAATTTTATTCTTGGAGAATCCCAAGCGAACACGTAGTATCAAATAAGAAATAGATTCAATCATGTTTTTAATCATCTGACTTAATAGACCTTTCTAAAAGTTGTGCTCAGGGCAAAAAAGGCTTTAGAAAATATGCGAAATATAATATTTTACTAGTCAGTAGTTAACATATGGATACTGATCTGGCTTAAATTATTTGAATACTTGATTGAGAAGAATTCAAAGTAAAAAAGAATTTAAGCCCATATACCGTTATTTGCATGAAATTTTATAAAGAGCAAGATTAAAGTATTTTAAAATACGATTTTAAAGTGAATAAGTAGAGCATAAATGGGAAATTTTAACTGAAGTGCTTCCAACACGATTCAACAATCCATAGCATGCGCAACGTGGAACGTTACTTCACTTTTAATGCTCGGTTTAATTCTTTCTGTATACTTTGAATTCGGTCACCTGTTAGCCTATATATCACATATATCAGTCGGTAACAAAGGTTGTTTTTCATCAAATTGTAGGAAAATTGAATTGAGTGATAGAGGTTTTACTAGAGGTTTACTAGATTTTACTAGCCTTCTCACGTGCAAATGAAACATTTTGCATTAGATTATATAAGTGTGATATATTGAGACACATTTCCATGTTGCCATTTAGAAATTTCATTACCAATCGTTATATAAATAAAGTCTATATAACAATCGACGACATCACAAAATAAGATCAACTTATTGACGGAAGTTTCAGTGATTCATGCATAGATTTTTTGTCCCAATTTGTATATTCAAACTCCTTAATGTTAGTAAGAAATATCGTAATACTAGAGATAATAGCCCCACAGGCTGTATCGTTTGTAGTTATATTTTCTAATTCCAAGCACAACTCGTAGAAAGGTCTTTTGATTGGGGAGACTAAAAGCATGACTAAATCTATATCTTACTTATTGCTGACTATGTGATCGTTTGCGATTCTCCAAGAATAACATAAGTGTGAATCAAAGCTAAACAAATAAGACGATCATATTTACCCAATCTACAATAAATGATAGACAGGTTAGTATGTATTTCAATTTAAAATAGCAATCAGTCAAAAATCGGACAGTGAACATCTAGATTAAATCGAATAATTTTGGCAAACTAGCAGGAAGTCTGCACATATTGACTGAAAGCTCTATTCTAAACCCATGTAAATATGGATCGCTTCAACACAAAATATCGATTATCTGACAGGCCATTTAAAAAAACGAAGGTATTTAACCTTTGACTATTCATGTTCATTAAGAGGTTAGCATGCTAGAGTTTTTACTTATTCCTTTCGACATGATTTCGACATTTGATTAATTGAAGTAATTTCTAATAATATGAAATTAGTCGGTGGTAAATATGTTTGAACATTCTAAAGTTATAATTATAAGAACTGAAATATAAATATCGTTGCTGTTGCGTCAAATATCCTCAAAAAAAGCCCATAAATGGGATATATTTCTGCATAATATGGGCTCCTTTGTGTTCAGTTATGATTCTTGGTTCAGGTAAGCAGAATTAATTGCAAAATCAAAAAATCATATTTTACTGCCGTGTTATGATGTGTGTATAGGTGGTGGAAACTATATGGAAAGTATAAAGCCTTAGCGGCAATGATTTATTGCAAATATTTCACATTTCAAAACAGAAGTCGATACCATAAAAATGGACTTAATTTCTTGAATTTTGACCCACATTCTGAAAATCTTTAGTGCTGATTCTTACATTCCCAGAGAAACAATTAAAGAAGTGACAGATTTAACTGTCTCCATAAAGTTCCTAAATTCCTAAACTTCTTTTAGATTGAAATTGTGATTTATTTAGAAAAAAACATTTATAGTTATATGCTTGCTTGCAGTGAATTGCTACACTAATACAGCCTTAACTAACTCAGAAATCTCTGTGAGAGATTCACCTACATCTGGCTGGACTATCAGAACCTCCTAGCCTAAAGTCTGGCTATAGAGAAAGCAAAATCATCGCACGGAATTTATTTTTCAGTAAGTATTTATTTCCAATTTTTTAAACTGGTTTAGTAGATCACATGGTATAAAGGCACAGAAAACGCGGGTTTATGCTTTATCTGAAAAAATCAACTCGTTCGAAAGCATTCTCTGGTACCTCCTGCTTTCGACTAAATAATACCATGCAATAGAAGTGTATTAGGGCAAACATTCATCAACAATATAGTTGACCTACTTTTATCAAAGTTTAAATTCAAAACAAAACGAATGAAGATAAAGTATCTTTGTTGCTTTAAAATGACATGTCAATAAACCATATTTGGGGTTAAAGCGATCAGCATTCATATGGATTTAGAATAGAGCTTTCAGTTATTATGTGAAGAATTGCTGCTAGTTTGTTGAAATCACTCGATTTGATCTAGACGTGCCATGTCCGATTTTCAACTAACATGCACACCTGCCAATCGATTGTATTGATTAATAATAGAAATTGGTTTAATAAAGCGTAAGGTTTTTAAAAATAACTGAGATTTGTTATATTAGCATTGGTTAAATGATGCTGCCCGTATACGTTTCGGCTTCAAATACCATAAATGTTATTCTTGGTTAATATCAAGTTCACAAATAGTACCCAATAAGTAAGAAAGAGATTTAGTGATGCTTTAAATCCCCTCACTCAACAGACTTTTCTACGAATTATGCATGAGGTAAAAAAGACATTTGAAAATAGGCGAAATATAATGTTTTACAAGTTAATAGTTAAAGTATTGGGATAATGATCTGAGTTAATTTATGTGAATATTAAATTAGTTAAAAAGTGCAATGAAAACAAATTTATTCTCTTATACTAGTATTTGTCCGATATTCAAAATGTCTCAATTTATCTGTTGATGGGGTACGTGATAGATTTACCTCCACGTGGTGCACCCTGGACAACATATCTTCGTACGGCAAAAAAGTCTATCAATCGGCATTCGTTTTTGACTTCGATTTATTATGATTAGCTTGAAAAAAGGCTATAAGAAAAATTGCTCTCGTTAAGGCCAATCACAACGTCTTCAGATCCTCCAGTGAAATGCTGGAGGGATGTCACCGGACAAGAGGATCCATACAGAAAAGGCTACAAACCTATGATGTAGACATTTTCACAATTATGGAATCAGGGATGTCACCGGACAAGAGGATCCAAGTCCAGAAAATCCTACAAACCTATGATGTAGACATTTTCACAATTATGAAAGCAAAAATTTCGAATGACAAACTGAAGTACTACCATTTCCCAGGTTACACTTTGTACAATCTACCTAAATACCGGCAAGGTGCAAGTGGAATTCTGACTGGAGTAAAAGAAGGCCTAACCCCACACAACGATCTAATCAAGAGTATGGGCTCGAAACAAAACATGTGTGAAATAATCAGAATTGTCCCACCTTTGGAATTCTGAACATCTCACACAAAACTGTAGTATTAGGAGTCTTCAACGCCCATTCAACCAGATGGGGCTACAATGATGCAAACATAGCTGGAAGGGTAATTGAAGGCATGCCATACAGCAACCCTCTGAAACTTATTTACAGCAATAAGGATCCGGCTACATATTTGCACCACAATGGAACCAGAACAACTCCTGACTTACTCATGGCTTCAAGTGACATCAGTGAGCATACACGCCGCAAAATAATTGACGATCCTGGTTCTGGTCACAAACCAGTCGTTGCTAGTATTACCATCGGCGGCAAAAGCATGTCAAGGAAAGTGCCAACTAAGCTAACATGGAACTTCAAGAAGGCTGACTGGCCTAGATTCACAAACCTTTTGGAGAATGAACTTCACACAAGTCCCCTCAACTTCAACCAACATCCTGATAAACGTTGCACTGATATCACGAATATTATGATCAGATGTGCAAATAAAACTATTTCCCGTGGCAAGTCTAAACACTATCGAGTGTTTTGGTTTAAACACCTTCAGGAACTGAAAAGAAAGAGGGACGACCTTCGCAAGACTCCTGATCAGACTGGAAGAACGGAAGACGTACAAGCCTGGAGACGACAATCAGCTGTCCTAAGGCAAGCCATCTTACAAGTTAAACGCACTTCATTCGAAAAGTTCATCTCATATATCAATTATCAAATCGCACTTTCAAATTTCTGAGAAATCTGCAAAACAACAGAGTATCTCAAGTACCAACTATCAAAGTGATAGCCAACGCACTTTTTTTGAGAATTCAAATTCCTGGGTAACCTCCAAAACAACAGAGAAAGACAAAGAACCAATACGCTTAAACAGCAAATTGCTTACCACCCATTCCGAAATAGCTAACTGCTATGCGAGGTTCTATTCCCACAAGAACAAGAAAAACCATTTTGTCAGAAAATCTTCAAGAGATTCAAAGATACAAGTAAGAAAAAATACTCAAGAGATTTAAAGATACAAGTAAGACAGTTGGGTGAAATTAAGGAGGACACGGTTAAAGATACAAGTAAGACAGTTTGGTGAAATTAAGAAAGATATAGCAACACCAAATAATGTACTTACTGAACCAAACAGACATTGCAAACTTAATAACGCAATAAAAGAGCTGAAGTGCAAAAAGTCTCATGGCAAAGACGGTATTCATCCAGAATTTCTAATTAGAATGGGACCAAAAGCCAAGGAAACCATGCTGACACTATTCAATAAAATCTGGGAGACCAGTCTCGTACCAAACCAATGGAAATTTGTCATAGTAATACCAGTACTGAAAAATGGCAAATACCCTAGCAACTTCGACAAATATAGACTTATCTCCCTCAAAAGCGTCCTGGCTAAACTTATAAAAAGAATCGCTAACAGGAGGCCCACCTTGTTCCTTGAGACAAGCAATATTCTTAGGAGTGAACAAGCCGGTTTTAGGCCAACAAGATCAACGAGGCAACAGATAGAAAACTTTTTGGCCACAAAGATCAACGAACCAACAAGTAGCCACTCTCTCAAACACATCAAAGATGTCCTTGATGCAAGAAATACCCTTACGTCTGTTTTCGTCACCCTTGATGCAAGAAATACTCTTACGGCTGTTTTCGTCGGTTTCAAATCAGCATATGACTTAGTATGGAAAGAGAAGCTAATTCGAAAATTGGTCTTCCAACACATCAAAGATGCCATTGATGCAAGAAATATGCTGTTTTCGTCGATTTCAAATCAGCATATGACTTAGTATGCAAAGAGAAGCTAATTCTAAAATTGGTAAAGATTGGTATTAAGCATAACATGTTAAACTGGAAAAAAAGCATTCATTGAACAAAGATCGTGTAAATCAGATACGGAAATGCTCTTTCAAAATCCAATCTTTTGCAAACAGGCCTTCCACAGGGAGCTGTCTCAAGCTGCACTGTTTTCAATGTCTTCATCAATGACATAGCCGAATTAGAACAGAGAGTCACAGGCATCAACTGCTTATTTTAAGCAGATGATCTTGTTCTATGATATTCCGCCCCTAAAACAGCGCCAGATCTTGTTCTATGGTATTCCACCCCTAAGAAAAACGCTTGGAAAGTGCCCTAAATTGTGCACTTAAATTACTAGCAAACTTGATTCCGCCCCTAGGAAAAACGCTCAGAAGAGGACAGAAAGCCCCCAAACTAAGAAAAACGCTAAGGAGAGGACAGAAAGTGCTCTTAGGTGTGCACTTACAATAAGAACTGGTGCGACAACAATGGAATGGTAATCAACACCGCAAGAACTGCATTCCAAACTTATTCTTTAGCCCATCACAGCATTAACCCGCTTCTAAGGTACAAGGATACTACCCTAATAAGAACCAATGAGTTCACTTATCTCGGAATGACGTTTTACACAAAGCTAACGTGGAAAAGTCACATTGCTAAAATAGCAGAACGATTCTCCAATAGACTGAATGTACTGAAGCGTCTTGCGGGTAGCGTGTGTGCCTGTGCGCGCTCAACTCTCAACACCACTCACAAGATGTTTATTCAGCCAATAAAGTTGTATTGCTGTGAGCCACTCATTACAGCCACAGAGGTGACTCTCAAACCACTCGAGAAGGCACGCAACCAACCATTATGACTAATTACTGGTGGGA